AAGCGAGTCTCCCTTATTTTCCAGTTGGTTAACATCCGTGAACTATGAGCAAGTCCTTATAACCGGGACGCGAGAACAGGCGAGGGGATATTATCAATGGATCTACCGTCTATGTTCGTTCACGAGAGTACTTAGTATAGCTGGCACATGGTTTAACGCGATTTCTACTTCCTTTAAAGAGCGTTTCATGTCTTTAAGCAAACTTCCTTTCTTTCATTTTTCCACTTATTAACTCAGATGATTTTCTGCCTAACGGCGGAAGATGATCATAGAAATCGTTTATAACACTCGAAGCGGAAGTCTTTTAAATGGTTTTGAAATATATCATATATCTGGTTTCCTCGATTAACTATTAAATTAAAAAACTATAAATAACATCAAGGGTCTCAAATAGATTGATTTGGATGAATTGGTTTTGAATGAAGAATATTTTATATATACAAAATAATTCAAAACAAACATGTAATATGCGATATAATTTTATGACAAAATAGATTCAATATTAAGTATTAGAATTAACATCATGTCCTGAATTTTATCATCTGAATTTTAGCAATTAATATGTCAATACTTTGATGAAGCCTTTGTATTTCATATCCATTGCCAATGACAGTAAAACATCAATCACATTCGTTGTGAAATCGGCATCTAGTTCATAATAATTCTGTGTATATATATGTGTGTGTGTATATGAAAAATTCGATCGATGATTCCAATCGACGGGCTTGTCGATAATTAATCAAAAATGCATTATACGACGCTCGGTCGTCATGAACATTTTTTTATCGTTCTGTCCGCGCGTCGGCGTGACATCATTCTCACTACCGTGTTAGTCTGTCTGTATTACTTTATTTTCAGATGTCTGCTTACGTTTACGAGCGCTAAACAGTCGGGTCGACGCGCACAATGAGGCGCGGCCGCCTTTGATCACTTCTGACATTCGGTATTTTCATAATTTATTCCACGCTCCATAGGTTTTCCCTCTCTCTCTCCGCATAACCCCCTACGGCACGGTGTGTGTGTGTATATGAAAAATTCGATCGATGATTCCAATCGACGGGCTTGTCGATAATTAATCAAAAATGCATTATACGACGCTCGGTCGTCATGAACATTTTTTTATCGTTCTGTCCGCGCGTCGGCGTGACATCATTCTCACTACCGTGTTAGTCTGTCTGTATTACTTTATTTTTAGATGTCTGCTTACGTTTACGAGCGCTAAACAGTCGGGTCGACGCGCACAATGAGGCGCGGCCGCCTTTGATCACTTCTGACATTCGGTATTTTCATAATTTATTCCACGCTCCATAGGTTTTCCCTCTCTCTCTCCGCATAACCCCCTACGGCACGGCTATAGGATAAAACCTATTCGGTAGAACCGTGGTCGAGAAGCGGCGTATATAGAAGCGCATTAACACCGGGTATCCTTCATAAATTAGGAGTCGAAATGCGTACGCGTGGGCAACGCTTAATAAGGCATTTAGATAAAAGACTAGTCCTCTCCAGACTTTTCCGATTTATCACGCTCACGGCCGGGGTCCTTGTTCGCGGACATGTGAAGGTATTAATTTATCGGATACACAGTCGGGAATTTAAATCGGTCTGGACACTCGTAACTATCTTAGTAGCTCACAGTTTAGAACAAAAATAAGCAACGTGATATATTTTACAAATTACGAGAAAAAAGATATGTAAAGTTATAAGTAAGACGTCTCCTTATTCTCTTAAATTTGCGTATAAAATGACATTAGCTATTTTTATTCCAAGGTATTGAATTATAATAAGGTACCTATAATATGTAGTTACTTTATTAAATATATAACAAGGATTATATGAGGTTACATATTTGTAATCAACAAAAATAAATTGATTCTCTAAAATGTTAATGAAAGTGATTTAATTTATATTACGCTTGTTGTGGAAGTTAATAGTTAATTAGTGTCTCCAATCATGTGGACTATCAATTATGGCACGGGATATGTTATAATACGATGGAAATTTCCAATTTGATTTTAATTAAATTTATATAGGCGTATTTTCAAATATATTATATGCACATGCATGTGTGTGTGTGTGTGTGTGTACTCGCGAATGTAACAATAAATGAATGTAATCGTACGATACATCTTATGAAGTGGATAAAATAATGGTTTTAATTAAAACGCTATATAAAAATGTCTCGCAAGACAACTCGCACAATTTTGTTCAATATATATGCTAGCAAAATTATTAATAAGTGGGAGGGATATGTAAAATTTGTGCGGTATTTTTTTAATCATTTCGGGTAGAAATTCTACAAGGCGCCTTTAAAACTTTAAATATTTCGCTCCCAATTTTGGGATACAAATCGCACTGTTCCTCTTGCCTGTGCTGATGATTCACATTCCAGATGTATAGCTTCCAATAACACGTCTGACTTCTCGCGTATGTTCGCCTTATGGCCTCGTTAAAGCGGAAGCTCATTACGCCGCCTAATGTCTACAGAAATTAGAATTCTCTGGCTTCACTTAGAACACGCCAAATTGGAGCAAAGCCCGATTTTCCGCTCGAAAATTTTTGGGCGGTTTAATATGACTTTTAAATATATTGATATAATAAAAATATTTTTTCTTAATGTATCAAATAAAAATCACACACTTTCAATTATAATAATATATACTTTAGTTATCAGTGTTTTCTTCGAAAATAAAGTTGCATTAAATGTTGTTTCCTGTCGAGGACTACGAAGAATTCAAGACTAATGCGTGTTTATTGTGAGAAAACTCTACTTGACATATAATGTATTATTTTAATTAATAGTTATGTAACCTCCTTCCAAAGATGATCATTACGAGTACGTTGTAATTAGCCTCGTTGCGCAACGGCGTTAATATCTGCCTCTGAGGGTTGCTTCAGGCAGTGAAAAAATCCATAATATCAAGTACTCTGGACTTTCAAGACGTTAACTATTTTTTCGCGCGTGCTTTCTGAACGTGACCGAAATTCTCGTGTCTGATTTCTCTTACCTGAGTCCATCCTCTCCACGATGCAACGGCGACCGAGACAGCGAGAATGAGAGACGGGAAAGGGGCGAGGTGGAGTCCTCGTTAAGACACCGTTAACTCCGTAGAGTATGAGCCAGAAATTGCGCGGTGGATAATTAATTGGATGACATGTCGTGCGCTAGGTACGCCGTCGGCATCAACCCATTATACCTATTCCACGGTGCGTTATAAATAACGCGGCGCATCCGTGTATTTGCATATTAATTTCGTGTGATGAAGGCGATTAGGCTAATGAACGTCGAATGTGCCGCCGTGTGGCGGTGACTTTGTATGCGATCTGCCCGATGAACTCCCGTTTCCTTTGTCGCCCACCTGCGCGAACGATCGAGCGATCGATCTGAGATTCAATTAATCCTGAACGCAAAATAAAACGTCATCGCGATTCAAATCTATACTCGCGTTCGATGGTTGCCCGGTCGCGAGAACGTGCATGCTCTAATTATACGACACGGCGAGGAGTTTGTAGCCCCACATGAATTATACTATCGCTTACGGCTACGATTAAGCTCGCCGCAAAGTATGCACTTCGAATATTTTGTTGATTCGAGAGAGACCGAATGGAGCAAATTGAGAGGATGCGCGTCGGCTACCGACCATTCGAAAACGATACCCGTCCAGCGGCATACTCGAGATGGGTTATTAAACAAATGCGATAAGAGCGATTTTGATTAACGGCTGTTTCGACTCGAGCGGTTTTCGACGCCCCACCCTTGGATCTTTAGCTCCGATTAGTCCGAGGATACGTAACTACTAATTTGCATAATGCAGTGAGTCGCGCTTTTACTGTTCAGAAGTTACACGATGCGTGAAGAAAGGGTGCAAGTGTGAGAAGCATTTCATTAAAGAGCATGGCTTCAATGGTATGCTTCTTTTACTTAAGAAAATTCGTAGATACAGTCACTTTCGTTCCAAGATTACCTTCGTCTTTAAGACAAATATATTGCTTCTATAATTTATTATATAAATTCCTTCATATATATATACATATATATTTTTTTTTAATAATCTGTGAGAGAAAAGGTTACAAATTACGTATTTAAATATTTCTGCAAAAATAAATGTTTTGAGAGTGTGTTTTTTAATATCAATATTTCTATGTAAATTTTCTTGTGGAAAATATGAAAACGCATGATTTATGTAAACTTTACGCAAAGACGGTTTGTCTTTGGCGCTATTTATCTACCTTGCATCTAGTTTCCAGTCACGTGCATCTACGCTAAATTAACGTCTCCCGATGTAAATACAAGGGAGAATAAATTTCGATTAAAACAAAAATTTCCAGTTGGCGCGGATTGAAAGTAATGATTTGCGCGGCGGTGATTATTAGGGTCGATAAATTTTAGTTAAAACTAATGACAAAAACCACAACTTCCACGCGAGCCAAACTCGACTCGAATGTCCAGCGTGTCGTAAGTAGGAATTTATCGGCGCGGGTAACTCATACGCTTGCATGATTTACTGGCGTGGGTAAATTAGCGGCCGGCTAATTAGTATGCGACCAACAAAACCAAAACGAAACGAAGCTTGAAAACCGGTGTGTTTTTGAGTGGCGCGATCGAGTGACCAATGACATGTGTCAACAGCGCGTCGACGCGGATAACGTATGTGTGATTGCGTGAAAAAAAATATAATGGTATCTGTAAATACTTGTGAGAGTTTTACGCGCGTAAAAAATTACTTTCTCGTTTCCCGTATCAACGTCATAAATTAGAATTTTCGAATTCAAACTAACTATATATAATATTATTATTTATTATATATACGATAACACATATATGTATTGCACGTTTCTTTTCCACATTTAATACAAATAACAAGAAGCGAATATAATACAAACATAAACACACATGCGATGTGTAAAAGAAATATAAATATACATTCGCTATTATTATTTTTCTCACGACGAAGTATTGTTACCGACATGATACAGTATGTATCCAAGGCTCGACCATTACACATATATAAAATCGACTTATTCTCTCTCAACGGCAACCTACATCCGCGCATTACTAGTCGCACGAGCTTATTACGGTAAATCAGCTGTTTCGATTCCTCTCGGTACGTAGAAACATCTAGCATTTTATATTTATTTATCCGACTCGCGTCGCGCGGTGAGAAATCGTATACGAGTATTGAAAAGGGAGAATGGAGAGAGAGTTACACCTGTAGGAGAATCACTAATGAGAATCCCCGCGATCACCTCGCGACGATAGATCGCGCCTCGCCTCGCCTCGCTTCGCGATCGTTCACGGCGAATACGCCACCTTCGTCGCCGAATATTATTAAAGACGTTTAACAGCTTGTAGCATTAGCATCGGAGAGTTGTGCGTGCATGAACGCTCACGCGTGTGCTGGCTGCGTAAATCACCGGACCCGCCCGCGGGCCTGCCGATCGGGCCGTTCGTAGGGAAATTAGACACGCGTGTTGTATAGGAGCCTCTTATCCGCTTTCTCTCTTTCTTTCTCTCTCGTTCTCATCGATCCTCTCATTCGCGCTTCTTTTCGCACTTATCGATCTTGCCTTCTCTTCATCGGAATCTTCTTGACTTCCTCCGTCAGGCGTCTAATTTATGTAATTATGCGATCTCCTACCGCGACACTAGAAACTATCCACGCGAATCGTATTTATTCAAAAATCTCGGTTATCAAACGCATGTTTCGCCGCACGTGCGCACTTTTCTCTCCTCTTTTTCTTCGCGCTTTTTCGTTGCCACTTTATTGTGGTATTCTCCTCACGCAGCTCGTCTCCCATTACATCTTCCAGACAGCTTGCACCGACTGAGATGCATAAATCGTGCGCTCGCATACGCGACAGGTGCATCGGGTCGCGAGCACGGCAAGGGAACATGGAATTTTAGAAAAAGTATACGTAGACCTCTCACAGTCGTGTATTATTATTACGCGGAATGCCTATTCAGCGTTTTACACTTCATTCTGCAAATTATTTCACCGCGAACAGAAATTCCAATCTGATTTCTCATTGTCTCATTGAGGCTTACATCATATACTGCACTGGAATAAAATTCTCTGAAACTTTTTAGAATAATATTTCTTATTAAAAAAATATCAGTAACTATGCGCCTATTCAAATCAAAGCAGAGTTATGAATGGTAGACTAGTAAATGACAGGTATCAATTTTTCCATTATCCAAGAACGAAGAAGAACAACGGATCTTTATATGAATCGAATTCGCGAATTCGGTGGAATAAATAATTGGACCGTCCATCGTCTCGTTGTTGGACATATTATTTGTCTTCTATCAATTGTCATTAGTCATTCATCCGAGCTTGTTTGCCGCGGCGAGACGCGTTAGTAATTTCTTCCGCGAGCAGTCCTGTTACCTCGTTACAAGCATGTTCTACACACGCAGTGATTTGTCCCACGTTATCCATGTACGGTGCGTTCGCGAAACACTAACCTGCAGTTCATTAAGTCTCTAGATTTACACACGCGCGTGTCAACTCATTCGCGTTGCGAGTTCCTCTGCGACTTACGCTGCTCGTAAGCTTTATCGTTCATTTGCCCGCATTTAGCGATGCTATCGGGACGATTGGATTGTTTTTACCGCATCGTTCGACGGAGCTGTTCGAATTTATAAATAATATCTTGTCTCTCGCAATCGTAAAGTGAGTGAGACGCGACCGTTAACACAGGAGTATCGCGGAAAAAGAACTGTTAGAAGCTACATTTGCGCGTGATAAAGTTGAGAAGCAGTCATAAACAGCGTGAATAACGAACCGAGAAACTTCTCGATGAGGATAGTTGTGAATGTTTATATCTAAATCAAAGGATTCCAATAAACAGCATATTAGCACTTATCTAATGACTCAGCATTCGAGAAATGAAGAGAAGAAGGCGGAGAGAGTATTAGCATACGTGATCAATTAAAATTATTTTATTTCATACTTTCATTTCTTTTAATAGCTGCTTATACCTATAAATATATTCGTAGAAAATAAATTTCGTTAATTCAGTTCATTATGTACAATCCTTCGCAATAATTGCAAGATTTTCTAATTTCACTTCCAATTTTCTGCCGCAATTCAGAACCGATTCAGTCGTAATCACGTTTTCCTCTCACACTATCTTATTCTCCGCGAATCGTAATATAAGGCCGCAATTTTGTTTGAACGTGTATTAAGAAATTTACTTCGACGGGGTCTTTATTTCATGAAGGGTCGAGATGCAGAATACGATACACAATGCCACGACATGGGAATTGACCGAGTTTTACCTCGCTTCTGTCTCTCAGGCTCATTACCCCATGACTGAATGATGTGAGTTGCATGCCGCGCGTCGTCTCGCCGTCTATTAGAATCACGCATATGCGTGTCTGGCACGAGACATCAATTCCGTATCATTCGCTGGCAAATGGCTTTTTCGTAGAATTTAGACACTCTCTGGAATAAAGTGGCTGACTATTCGACCGAATGTTACGAATACATTGTCATTCAATATTAATTCGTATTACCACAAGAGTATGTACATACACACATATAATATATATAGTTTTGCGAAAAATCATTTCTTATTTGGGAATAATGATATAAAGTATCATTATGATTAAAATTAAGATTATATCATAAAATTATTATAAATAAAAATTCTAAGATAAAATAATGATACTTTATATCATTATTCCCAAATAAGAAATTGTGCACAATTATATAAAAAAATTAAAATTAAGATTATATCATAAAATTATTATAAATAAAAATTCTAAGATAAAATAATGATACTTTATATCATTATTCTCAAATAAGAAATGATTTTTCGCAAAACTAAATTCTGCCCGAAAAGAGTAAATTGGAATTTGCGACGACATGAAATTTGTGACAACAAAATTTGACAATGACACGTTTCTATTCCTTTGGATAATGTTGTACATGGACGAGCCGGATTTCCTGCAATGGTCGCGGCACCTCTCTTGAAAAAGAGGAAGACTTTTACGAGTATGATCAGTCACGGGCGTCACGACGCCAACGAGGAGATGAGCCTCTCTCTACGAAGTATCAGAAACCTGGCGCTCCGACGAAACTTTGTCAGTGTCCCGCACGATTAGCGGCCAAAGGTCGATCTCTCTGATCTCTCCTGCACCGCGGCCGGTGCTTTCCTCGTTTCTCTTCTCGTCTGGACGTCCACGTAGTGCGGTTAGAAGGATCTCACAGTTTCTTCCGCACAGCACGAATTATTCCAGTCGTACCTCCGCGGAGCAATTAGTACAGCGCGGTCGCCGCCCACGTTGCATCGAACAATTAATAGGATAGCGAGAGATGGAGGCGGTATCTGTATGAATGTATCTGTGTCTTCACAGAGGAGGAAAGAAACACATAGCGAGCACGCGATCGCATACTATGATCCGCGATATCGTGCCGGAAGTGGACGACTAAGATCTGCCATGATTTACATGGTGATAATCCCCTGCTTGAAATAGTTTGTTATTTCTTGGACGCGGTGACGACTTCTCGAGAATATTTTCGTCGTAATGAAAATTCTAGGCATGCGCGAGATGCCAAATATGTATGTTGACCCAACTTGTCACTTGTTAAATTTTTGATATAAATATCAATGTAAATAATTAAGAAATTACAAGATATGTACTTGTTACGGAACATTTTCAGTAATATATATATTAGTTAAGATACAAATATCGGCATACTTTCGTGAAAGGAACAAAATTAATTTGACAATAATAGAGAGACCAAATGAAAATTTCATATTTAAAAATACATCGAATGAATCATATCTGAAATAGCAAAAGTATCATGAAAGTAGGTCAATTTGAATATTTCGGTGTCCCGTCTCTGTCAATATTTTACGCGATCGCATATAAGAAGTTTTCATATATAGATTCCGCAGGCATCTTTAATCTCACGAATACCTCTAAATTCGTCATTTGCGAGTTTTTGTAATCAACAATCTTTTTTTCTAACACTGATATCTTCCATAAAAATATCATTTACACTATAAGTGTAAATCATAAAGAATATAAATTTGGACAGTACAGATTCAAAGTTTCGTATACCTGATTCGCCACAGTTTTTATAATTATCTCGTAACAAATTTTGTCGGACGGAAGATCGGGTAAAAATGAGACCGGCCAATCGAAATCGTAGAAGTCTTTCGCATATCAAATTCCGGCTTCGGATTTCGGACTCCCCGTCGCGCGTATCTTCGTCTGCGTTATTCTTTTTGGTTAGCTAGTGAGAGATATCGTCGGCCGCCGGTTCTAAGAAAAATCGAGATCAGAAGAGATCGGAGATCGCGGCGCTCGTCGGATCGAGTCCGAGCTTTATTTTTACGACTGCTACGATTTTAAGTACGAGTCTCGGGACCTATTCCTCGTCGGGTCAAGCGAGACGTCCGCGCAACTTCGAGGCCGACGAGCCCTCAACAAAACTCGAACAATTCCGCCGGACGCGGCGCCCCATGACGTCGATTGTGTGTGTGGTCTGTCATCTTGTAGATTCATTTCGAGATCCATTCGGATTGTTTAGGAAATATACCTCTACAATTTTAGACGGAACCGTGTTTCGTTTCAGAAACACGCCAAAGTAAACATCATTTGTTGGCCAAGGGGATTTGACAATTCCTACATATTTTCGTTCTGCGCGCTCGCGACTTGTCATCGTGTCTGATTAAAGTGCTTCTATTAAAATTAATCTTACGTTTGCTCTATATGTTTCGAGTACTGTTTAATATATTTAAAAATACGTTATAAAAAATCTTATTCTTTTACTTATATATGTAAAAATTTCTCAAGCAATCTACAATGATATAATATGACATTAGCATCTCGCATGTTTAGATTAAGAGATATACATTATTAAAGATATCTTTTATGTATTTTAAGAACAAGCTAGCAAAACTAAAGTTTATCAAAGTTGAAGTTTATCGTCTCTTGAATTAAAGGATAGGATAGCAGGAAAAATAAGAAATATATAGAAAAATTACTCCAAGGATCGAACCAGTTCGCAGATCACTTTCCTTTTGTCAGCGTCTACATTCTCTGACAAATCTCGAAAGAGAAAAAAATCGACGTAACACATGAAACGGG